CCTCGGTAACCGCAGTACACAAAGCTGACGTGCAGCGCTCAAGTTTATTCAGTGAAATCGTAGCCTTTTGTAGTTTAATCGTCATATAGCAATTCTTGTCTTTCCGTCCCCAAAGACCTCTTATAATTTAGACTTTTTGTTCCATTTAAGAGTTTGCATTGCCTTGCATGGCCTTAAAAATAAACAATTTAACTGAAGACGTTTTAAGAACCCACGAAAACGCTAATAAGAACATAGTCCAGTGCAAACATTTCTGTCATGCATTTGGCAAAAAGCTTTTGTTGACTATGAATTTTACCTTTGAAATTTGAGGCAAGTGCAACTCTGGCGTCCCCGTTGTTTGTGAGCAGTGGTGTGATGGCGATTTAAATAAAATACAGATTTCCAAACATATGGGAATATACAAAACCCTTGAACTTGGTAAAAAGATCATCTGTTTACCATCTTGACTTGAAAATACTGTTTTCATGGTCAGTTTTTCGTTTATTATTTGCTAATGTTAATTAATGTTTACATTAGTGTGCACGTCCTACTACGCTGAAATTAATAGGGGCGCGGCTGGAAATAGCGACCTCTCCTGGTTGGAGATAGTATTAACATCATAAACTGAAAGCAATCTTTACGTGACTTGCTTTTCAAATGTTTTAAAATTGATCATCCGAGTCTAATATGATCCAGTGGGCCGTACTAAAAGACACTGCGGGCCGCCAGTTGCCCATACCTGGTTTGGCCTATATGGAGCAAATACTCACTTTTTTTCCCCTGCTTCTGCTGATAACCAGTTGAATTAAAAATGATATTATAATTGTGTGGGTGTATTAGTATGGATATCAGAATGTGGTTTGTATGTGAGAACTGAGAAAATATATATATATATATATATATATATATATATATTTATAATTTTTTTAATCGGACACTGATTTTTTTTTTTTAGCTGGACAGCTATATTGTTCTTCTGTACAAACGATTATTAAAACTTTACATATGGTTATCATTGTATGGGCTTTATTAACTTTTTTTAATAAGCAATCTGAAGAAGAATAAGAGATTTTCTATGAACAATTAGCCTAAATAAATTTGTCCTTTTCTCACATAAAGCTGTGATATGACTTTCAGTTTGGTTGTGTTTTCTCCTAAGTTTGTGGCAGAGACATTTTTGGCCCTGCAAATTGTGTCATAACATTGCTGTGGTCCCTTCCTTGAGTTAGTTACATTGAAAAGCTGAGCTTTCTGGCTGTTCTGGAGCATGTATATGCCTCTATCTAATGGTGACAGTGGATATCAGCACCTGACACTGGTTCAGTCATGAATCCTTACTGATAAAATATCTCAAACTGTTGACACTATCAATACCTCACCCCCAAAATAAAATCCTTTAGTCGTTTACTCACCATCATGTCGTTCCAAATGTATGTATGACCTACTTTTTAATCTGCACACAAAAGAATATATTTTGAATAAATTTGATGTCCAAAAAACATTGGACCCCATTGACTTTGTATGAACAAGGAAATCACTGAGACATATTTACATATTGTTCATGTGTAGCAAAGAATTACAGATCTTTAACACATTTTTTAGCCATTTTTAAATTGTCTTAGTTAATCGCGGTTTATCGCGCGAGTGGTTTATTTGAGCCACGCGCATCTGTTGACTAGCGAAGGTTAATTAATCACACTTTAATGTCTTTTATAGAGCCTAACTTGTTAAACCACACTGTGGTTCTTTGAGCAGGAATGGGCATTATTTCAGACTCTGACTGTAGGCTTACTTTGTATTTTGAAGTCTTTAGTTGAAAAAACATGTTTTGCATTTTTCTTCATACTGGGCAAGGGAACGGGAGGAGTAGGTGAGAGGAACAATGTTTTGAGGAAAATGTTCTTTGTATTCAGAACAGGTCCAGACAGACACGGCTTACTAACGTAGGCTAGTTTTTGCTTTGCCATCAGAGGAGTGAATATTTGCTCCATGACGCATATGGCAATACACGTGTTCTAAAATCGGCTCAAAATACCAAATTGTTTGATATCCTCTGACTAAAGCAAATACAATTTTTATTTTTATATCTTGTGCTGCAATCATTTATTTATTCATTTGGATTTTTACATGTTACAATTTAGAAAAGCACATTGTTTTTAAAGGGATAGCCCACCTAAAAATGGAAATTCTGTCATATTTACTGCCCCTCATGCCATTCCAAACCTGTATGAAGACTTTTTCTTCTGTGTAACACAAAATAAGATATTTTGAAGAATGCTGGTAACTTAGGGTTGCCAACTTCAGAAAAGGAAAAAAGGGACAAGGGTTTTTCTTTATATGAAAATAAGGCACCGAATAAGGGACACTCAAAATACTGTACCACATAGTGAATATCATTTCAGTGTTCAGTAAGTTAAGTAGACTGTGTATAAAAGGTTCTCAGGCATAAAGACATTTCTTTTGATTAAACCAATGTATGTACAATTTAATTGTAAAATAGAACTGTAATGTCATAAAAAAAGTCACACACAAAAAACACAAACCATTGGCTAGAGCAAATTGTAGCCTACCACTTTAGAATTGTGACTGTACCAGTTGTGTAGTAAGTAACCATAATAACTGAATGTCTATCTATGAAACGTCAGTCAATAAAGCATTTTTTTTTAAATGGCACTTAAAAAAATTAACAAAAATTTTGTTGCAACATGTAGCCTAGGCTACTGTATGAATAGATGAGTATTGGCTGCTTTTGAGACTTTTTTTGGTCATTTTGTGTTTTAATAATGAGGTCCAAGGTTAAGAATTCGTTAGAAATTGTTGGCTATGTTCCCCAACTCTATGTTCCCAAACTCTTCAGGACACCGGCCCTCCAGGACCGAGTTTGGACACCCCTGGCCTAATCCTAACCCCTCACCTTACCCTAAACAAGGGGTAGGCAAATTCGGTCCTAGAGAGCCGCAGTCCTGCAGAGTTCAGCTCCAACCCTAATCAAACACACCTGAACAAGCTAATCAATGTCTTCAGGATTACTAAGGCTATAGGCAGGTGAGGTTTTTTTCAGGGTTGGAGCTTAACTCTGCAGGCCTGTGGCTCTCTAGGACCGAACTTGCCTACCCCTGCCCTAAACCTACCAATACTAGGGGGGTAGTAATCTGGCGGGGGTCAGAATTGGGCAAAACACCGGCAGAAGCTTCTGCTTTGTCTTAAAGCGTTCCGCGAACGGATAAATTCTCAGTTAAGAGTTATTCGTAATGGTTTAAGGTGGTCATAGCTGCGAATACGGTACAATCTGCGTTCCGAATGGCTTTCATACGGAACGCTTCTTTGATGCCTTAAACACGGGACGATACGGAACGGTTGGCAACCTTATTGGTAACCAAACAATTTCGGGTCCCATTCCATAGTATTCTTGTCAGTATTATGGAAGATAATGGGATGGTAACGATTGTTTACAGCAGAAATGCAGGTATGACATGAAAAAAGACATATAGGCTTAGGTGAAGAAATGTTGACAGAATTGTAATTTTTGGGTGAACTATGCCTTACCCTACACTTAAACTGAACTTTCAGAATGTTAAAAAAATCACTCAACAAATATTAAGCAATATCTAAGTGGCTAATCAACAAATTAAATTGTGTAATGATCAAGGGTGAGTCATAAACTGCTGATTAAAGAAAACTGCACAACTCAAAGCACTTTTGAGAAATTGCGTGTGACATGCTCTCTGACTGAGCAAACATCTGGATCTCAAGTCATGGGATACAAAGAACTACAAATGTCAACCAACCCACGTCGTTCAGCACACATCGTTTTAAACCACGCCTGCTGTTGAGCAAGCACTGCATCGGACAGATATACTCCTGTGCGTTTCATGTTTGCGTAAGTGTGCAAACTTGCGCAAACGTGAGCAATGTCTAACAGCGAGGAAATACACACCAATCTCATCGACGAACCTGACGATGACTGCAGCAGTCCAGAGGTTCGATATTCAGGTTTGACAATCACAGCATGTGCTGTCTCTTTAACCTAATGTTTACAGTTGCATTATGTGTTATGAGACCCATGTATCTCCAATCCTTGTAAGGCAGTAATGAGTGTGAGTGTG